ACGCCATAACAACAGCCCCGTCATCCTGCGCCTGCTGCGTGGTATTGTACGGCCCACCCGGCCCAGACTTGAGAATGGCGAATTTCTCGTTGAGGTTCTTATTGAGCGGCGTGATGACCGAGAGCGGGGGAAGCAGGATGTCGGACACGAGGGACGTGACGAGGCCGGTGAACATGGATGCTAGGCTTTTTTGTATGTGAGTCTCTCTTTACTGCACACTGGCATTGCGGAGAGAAGGAGGCAGGTATTTACATCAAACCAAACGCAATCTCAAGGACGTTTCCCTGAAACGCAAAGTCGATGAAGCCCTCCCATAGACGACGCACATGGCGCGTGCCCGATTCGAGATGGCGACGACCTTCTTCGAGAAAGTCCTCCGAGTCGGAGTCGCGGGTTGGGGTGTCGGGAGGAGGCATTATGGCGATTAACGGAGGAATGGGAGATGGGGGAGAGGTTGCCGCTTTCACGATGTTGAGGTGCTCCCTTGTTATCGCGCCCGCGGGCGGGCGGGCGGCTGGGAGCTGAAGGCGGGGGAATTTTGGAGCTCACCCAAATGGGAATAGGTGCAGACTGTCGTCACAGTGCAGCTTTTCCCGGTTTTGCCAGGGGATAGCGACCCCTGTAAGTGGTCGGGTGACATTCCTCTGGAAACACGGCAGCTTTTTGACATCTGATCGAGCACCCACTCAGTCAATTGCAGCACAAGCAAAAGTGTAGACAAAAAAAAAAGATCATTTCATTGCCCCATGCACCCAAAACCATGGACCATAGTATGAGCCGTCATATGTATGTACAACATGCAGAAGGGCTGGCTGCCCTCCGCATCATCTATCATCGCCAAGGCCTGTTTCCCCCCGAACACCGCTTCTTACAACTTGGCGGAGGGCACAAGGAGGGTGTTGCCCTTCTTGATCCAGGCCGAGGCGTCATTGACAAACTCATCGACAACCGCCTTGGCGGGCTTCTTCTCGTTGACAACGGCCGCGCACGCGCCCATGAGGTGAGGGCTGAACTGGTCGAGGATGTCATCGAGCTCGTCGTCCTTGGCGGCATCCAAAAGACCAGAGGCCTTGAGGCCGGGGTGGTTCCTCGCCTCACCAGACATGACCTTGTCAAGATCGGCCTCGTAGGGGAGCTTGCCCGCCGCAAGGAGCGCCTTGAGCTCGTCGCGACGCTCCTCGTCCCAATGCACGACGTAAGGGTTCTTGCGGATGCGGAGGGGACGGCCAGTGAAGATGAGGGTACGAGTGGTGTCGGTGTAACCGGCAGTGCGGACAGCCTCCTTGTGAGCCTCGGGGGCGCCAGCCTCGTCCGTGAGAATGAAACGGGTGCCGACCCAGACGGCAGAGGCGCCCATCATGAGCGCAGCGGCCAGAAGCTGGCCGTTGTGGATGCCACCGGCGGCAACGGTGAGGACGGGCTGCTTGGTGAGCGGGGAGACGGCGCCCTTGCAAGCCTCAACGACGGCGGGGATAAGGACGGTGGTTGGGACATCACCGGTGTGGCCGCCGCCCTCACCGCCCTGGGCGCAGATGATGTCGCAGCCGAGGTCGAGGCACTTCTTCACATGCTTGGGGTGGCCGATCATGTTCATGTAGATGATGCCGTTCTGGTGAAGCTTCTCAACGACGTGTCTGGGGGGCACGCCGACGGCGCAGACGAAGAGCTTGGCGCCCGACTCGATAATCACGTCGATGAGCTCGTCGAGCTTGCCCTTGGTGTAGTCGTAGCTGTGCACGCCCTGTCAGCAAATCTCCTCCAACCCCTCCTCGAACTCTGTCATGACGTACTTGGTCTTGCGGGCGTTGCCACCAACCTGGGGAAGCAAAAGGTCGACACCGAAAGGAGCGTTTTTGTCGACCAAGTGCGACTTGAGCTCAGCAATCTGATCGCGGAGCATGGGGGGAGTGTAGGAGATGCCGCCGAGGACACCGAGACCACCGGCATTGGTGACCGCCGCCGCCAGCTTGGGGCCGGCGGCGACGTTCATGCCAGCCAGGAGGATGGGGTGGTTGATCTTGAAAAGATCGGTGATCGGGGTGCGGATCTTCTCTGCGCGACAACATCGTCAGCTCTTGAACGCAGCGCAAGGGAGGAGGATCGGACAAAGGCAATGCGCCGAGGGGAAAGGTGTGCTTACGAGGAGAGGCCATGGTGACGGTTTGGTTGCACGCAATACTAGAACGACACAAGGGGATTGAATGAAGGAAATGATACAGGAATGCTGGAATGCTGGAATGGTGATGCCAGGCTGGGGAGGCTGGGGAATCTTATCAAGGGACCCGGGGAAGCACCCGCAACTTGAATCGCGGCTCTGGGGTGCATGTGCCGAGGTCTCTTTGGCACGGAGCGACGCGCTAGCCTCGTTTTGGAGATCATGGGCGAGTCCCCTGACCGGCGAGGGGCAATGCCAAAGTGGGCGAGCCGAGGCAGAGCCGCTCCGGTGATCCTTCGCCGTTGACTCGCATCTCAAGCATTGAAACCGATGTCCGATCGTAAAGAGCCGTTCAATTGCCAAAGCAAGACCAAGGGACGTTGCGAATCATGCAAGGCCCTCAAACTCAAAGCCGGGCTAACGCATCCCCTGGGGGGCTTGAAGACCCTCTTCCCAGCACTCTGCGACCGTTCTCTCGGGCGTTGTTGTGTTCCGTGCGGGATTCCGTAGCGGTTATCGGCGGGAAACGAGTGCCGTAGGCGGACTTTGGAGAAACAGAAGGAATGGAGACCCTAACCCTGAATTGATGCCGTTTGGTCGCATCCTCGAGGTCCCACTAAAATTACGATATCGCTACGATCTCATCAGTGGAAGTCGCGACGGGGAGATATGAAGCGCTTCTCAACAGTCTCGCTTGGGGCATTGAGTCACCACCAGCCAAGAGCGTCGCTCTGTAGTAATGCTCTTGTGTTCTGCCACTCCCTGCGCGTGAGCAGGACAACTCAGAGATCGTTTTCAACGTCGCCGCGGCGTGCTGTTGACGAGCTTAGCTTCAAAAAATATTCCCTGCCGCGAAAAAGGAGCGCACTCACCATGAACGGCACTGAGGATGCCCCGCCTCCGGAAAGGCGGACGGCGTACATTGCACTGGGAAGCAACATGGGCGACCGCATTGCCTGGATTGAGAAGGCGTGCAACGAGATGGACGCGAGGGGAATCAAGGTCAAGCGGACGAGCTCGCTGTGGGAGACGGAGCCCATGTATGTGCTAGACCAGGATAGATTTGTCAATGGAGCCTGTGAGGTTTGTCAATGCTTCTCTCATGTCTGTGAATCTTGGCATCTTGCTGACCGGATCAGGTCGAAACGACCCTTGAGCCACTTGAGCTGCTCGATGCTCTGCAAGACATTGAGAACTCCCTCGGCCGGAAGAAGATCATCGACAAGGGCCCCCGCAACATCGATCTTGACATCCTCCTCTACGAGAACCTCAAGATTGACCATCCACGCCTCAAGATCCCTCACATTGGCATCCCCGAGAGGGAGTTTGTCCTCAAGCCCCTGGCCGAGTTTGTCTCCCTCCCTGTCCCTCACACCCACGCCCACTCACACCCACCAGACTCGTCCCCGACAAGCCCATTGACCACACCCGCCCCTGGACACTGACCCGTGACCTCCTGGACTCCCTCCCTCGTTTGTCCACTCCCCTAACAACAATGACGCCGCTCTCAGCCCACCACCCACCCATCCAAGCCCTCAAGCCCGACCGCAAAACCCACGTCATGGCCATCCTCAACATGACACCCGACTCTTTCTCCGACGGCGGCAAAAACACACAGCTCGACGCGGCCACCCTCCTGTCCATCGTCCAGGCCCACCTCGACGCGGGCGCCACCATGATCGACATCGGCGGCCAGTCCACCGCTCCTCGCGCCCCTGAAGTGTCCGTCGAGGAGGAACTCGCCCGCGTCCTGCCAGCCATCAAGCTCATCCGCTCCAACTTCACCACCCGGCCCGCTCTCATCAGTGTCGACACCTACCGCGCCGCTGTTGCCGAGGCAGCCGTCGCCGCGGGCGCTGATATCGTCAACGACGTGTCCGGTGGATCCATGGACCCTGAGATGCTTCCCACTGTTGCGCGGCTCGGGACGACGATCTGTCTAATGCACATGCGCGGAACGCCGGCGACGATGAGCTCGCTGGCCGAGTATCCCGCGGCGGAAGGGGGCTTGATAGGCGGGATAGCGCGTGAGTTGGTGGCGAGGGTTGCGGCGGCCGAAGCAGCGGGAATTAGGAGGTGGCGTATCGTGTTAGATCCGGGGCTGGGTTTCGCAAAGATCGGGATGCAGAATGTTGATGTGTTGAGGCAGATGGAGGAGCTGAGACATTGGCCTGGTCTGCAAGGCTTGCCGTGGTTGGTGGGCTCCAGCAGGAAGAGCTTTATCGGCCAGGTGACGGGTGTTCCGACGCCCAAGGAGAGGATATGGGGGACTGCGGCGACGGTTGCCGCGGCCGTGCAGGGAGGTGCGGATGTGGTGAGGGTGCATGATGTGCGGGAGATGGCGCAGGTGGTGTCGATGGCGGATGCGATTTGGAGGTATTGAGGGGCTTGACAAGGTGTCAGGGGGTTATTCAACATGTGAAAGCATCTGATGGCGTTTATCAGGGCTGTATTATACCGTATGGGTTTCGGGGGGTAGATAAAAGGACCGGATGCTCATCCTCTGTGTCATTCGGAGGGCCGTGTTTCAACAATTATATGGAGATTGGTGCGACTTGTTATTACCCACACGTTTTTCTTGCATTTGTAGTCCGTATCCACGGTGTTGTCGTTCAGTCCACCCGACTCTTGCCCCTTAATTTTGTTTACACCCTGTTGCTATGCAGCCTCCCAACCACAGGCACCCACCTCTCAAGCATGCGCGTCCCAATCCCCTTTTCAAACAAATGCCGTCGAGTTGTGCGTGGTCTTCCTGTTTCGTGGGACGTACAAGGTAAATCCATCAACGTGGAACAAAGTCCGACCAGTAAAATAGACGAAAAGTTCACCCAGCAAAAAGATAGATCTCCCCCGCCGGGGTTTGAACCCGGGTCTTCGGTGAGAGAGCGCAAGGCTGACAAACCGACATACTATACCACTATACTACGGGAGATTTGATGGTGTTGTGGAAGGCACGTGTTGTTTGTTTTGGTGGACAGGAAGACGTTTCCACGGAAGCGGAAGGTGCCTTGGATTGAGACGGACAACTTGGCAGGCACTGGTGGGAACGGGAGACGGGAGGCTGGCTGAGATGGGGCACGCGCCAGTTTGAGGGAGGTATGCGAAGCGGCAAGGGTGAGTAGGAGACCTGGAGTGTTGAGGATATCTGGTTCACTTGACAGCATGTGGCCAGTCTGGGAACATGGCATCAAGTGCCACGACCTTCCCTTTGGTTTTAGGCACACTGACATTATATCAAACGGATCAGGGCTCTTCATGCGAACGCAATTAAGCACATCTTTGGTATCCCGTTGGGCACCCTCGCGCAACAAAAGTGCCATCGGCATACTATCACCACAGCTCAAGGTGTGCTCCAAGTCAGCTCGTGGAGATACCATCACGGCTGCTTCAATGGCACCGCCGGGCAATACTGCGTGTTATTGACATCGCATCAGACTCTGCTGCTAAGTTATAGTGACTACGTAGCTCAGCAACCGTCAAACCTAATCCTTGTCCATCTCCACCGCAGCTAAATCACTCCCATCAAAGCCAACCCTCCAGCCCCATCACAAACCCAACAACCTCAAAGTCAACAGCTCATCACTACCGACAACACAATCCCTATGCCCCTGCTAGCCTAGCCCAGCTCAAAATTGCTTTTTTTCCGCCACGCTAACCTAACCCATCACCGTTGGCCCCAACCCATAATCTCACCGACTCTAAATCCTGATCGTACCACTTCCTCAACCAACAAACTCAAATTAAACCACATTTCTGCTCAACGCCAACCCCCACGTAAGGTACCCACGCTGACGAGAGATCGGACCGCCTCGGATTTAACCATGTATGGACCAACAGCAAACAAACAAGCATGCTCATCCCACCAAGGAAAATGATATAATCACCTCCGTTAACCCCCACGCCGCTTAGATCCGAGCCTCCCGGCTCGACTCCGTCCCCTGAATCGGGGCTAGTATGCTCAAACAAACCCCACAAAAGACAAATCACGGCCCGGTGTCCACGGTCACAGCGGACGCCGCATCGAATGTGCGGACGGATGTTCGGGTTCAGGCGGACCCATGGAGGGTCGGAGCTGCCCGATGCTGACGCCGGCTTACCCACCGCACCGACTGGACTTAACGGCACGTGGGGATGACCGCAGAACCGGAGGACCAGGCAAGAAGAGCAGCAAGATCACGTGGAGAATCGTGTGATCAAGGACCTTGGATTGTGGGCTAATTGATCAACTTCTGAGATGGAGGAGGGGTGTGGGGCGAAGTAGGGGGTTGCTCCAAGATTGGAGTCACAGGATGGATGGACGGATGCAGCGTTGTTTCGCACTTGCGGAGGACGCGCCCAGCCTTGTCGGAGTTGTCTCCCTGTGACTCGATACCACGGTAGGTAGACAGACCATACCGCTTTTGCGAGAGTGGTGATGCCATGCCCCCCCCCCCCCCAGCACACCTCCCCTCTCTTCATATCTGAAACGGCCTTGATTGCTGAGGCTGAGTGGCAGAGCAAACAAAGTGGTGGGAATGCTCGGCAACCGCGAATCATGGTGTTCAGCATCATCTCGGCGGTGAAAAGAGAAGAAACAGACCATAATCAGACCGAGATTTGCCACATCGGAAGGGGTGAATCGACTTGGTTGATAGGATCGCCTTTGTCGACGGTTTTGTCTCGTCCGGTCAGTGCCCAATCGCTTCTGCGTCCGCAGCGCCGAGTGGACGGAGATAGGGGGGTAGGGCTGAAGGCGAAGGCCTGGCATATGACGCTGTGTAACACCATCCACACGCACATTTTTATTCACCGGGGGCCCAGGTCTCTCGGCAAAGAGAAGAGAGCAGAGAGCAGACAAGACAGCCTTCCGATATGCCAGCGCTTGACTCGCCTACCTCAGATGAGCGGTGAGGGCGATGTTGTCGAGAGCCTCGATTGAAGGCGAAATCAAAGAAAATTAGGCGGGGATTCCTCCACCCCAGGGAGCGTCTTGCTGACGTGGTTGGACAGAATCCAGGGCATCCTGCCCAACCGGCATCTGGGAACGCACCTCCCTTCAGTAGCCGAAGGGGGCGTCAGCAGGCTGCCGGCGTGTGCTGATCCCCGGTGGTTTCGTCATGTCGGCAGAGACATTTTGGTCAATCCATATTTCTTATTCCTGTGCAAATGCGGTGAGACCGGTCTCCGTTGCATTTGGATCGGTTTATTGAATCTCAATCGCGCCATTGCGGTTTGGAGAGGGTGCTGAGTAAAGACTGCCCCCCCCGGTTGCATACCGACGAGATCGCCGGGAAAGCCTGTGAGTGGCTCACCCATCTCTCTCCTCTCGGGGCCTTGTTGTGGAGGGGTTGATCTGCGCGGCGGCGTAGGTAAGACGGGAACAGAACAAGCAGGTGCGGGAAGTTGAATGCCGAGAGCTGCCCGTCGCTTGACGGGAGGCAATCGGGCAACGACGACGACGCTTGTGTCGACAGTGCGCAGTCAACAAATCCGGACATGCCGCGGTCGAGGAATATTGCTTTGCGTTAGCATCGTGGGGAAATCGCGATCTCTGAAACGTAACTCGATGCGTAACGTGGGAGGTTGGCGGAGTGGAAGCCGGTGTGGGAATCAAAAGTCGGTTGGTGGTCACTTGCAGTGCGTGTAACGGCGGGTACCTTTGGTGGTTCTGCTTGTACCTCGCCAGGTCGCTGATTGACCCACCCCTCCTTTGGGTTGCGCGCGACGTCACAACTGCTCGTGTCCACCAGACGACGTTTCCTGGCCGCCGCTCTGCTGTTTCTAGGGTTGCCATCGCTGGTTGGGCGAATTTGGTCATGGCCGCAGGGAGAGCGGCCCTCTGAGAGATTGCTCGCCCTGCTTGTCTGCAGCTCCATCGTCATAACTTGGCCTGTCGGATTCTGAGACCATCTGCCACGTCTGAGTGGTGCGACGGCTTGTGACTGCGACGGCGATGGCTGACGCGATTGCAGAGATCGGGTCGGTGAGGTGAATGTGGTTGCGGACGGGCCGCGACAAACAACCCGCTGCAACGCTGACACCTCTCGTGGTGCTCCGATGAATATGTAATCTTGACTGTAGGACCGTCATCAAAGGAGGAGCAGCAGCGCACAATGTGGCTGTGGAAAGTAGGGAGCTTTCGAGTGGTGGTCCCAGCAAGGTGGTGCCCTGTAAATCGTCAGGCTTGGTACGGCCAGCTCGCAACATCGGCATCTTCCATGCCCAGAGGTCAATCTACAGAGTGAGCGGCGGGAAGGGGTTGGGGTGGATTTCTGCCGCTGAATATCCGTGAGCAAACGTGCAGACTCGACGCCGGACTCTCCCGTTCGGTGGCCGGACAGATTCTCCCGCTATGCGCTGGGTGAGTCTGGAATGCTGACTTCCCGTCCCTGTCAAACAACGTGGCTGCCCGGGTTTTAACAAACAAATGGAGTAAACAATCACCAGGACGCGGAAGGCATCGTGGGTTGTGGCATTGTGTCACAACACCAAGTGCGGGATGGGGGAACGGAGAATGGGCTCTGGCGCGTCTTGGCGTTACGACAGATATGGCGCTTCCCTGGTCGAGGCCGAAAAAAAGGGGCGGAGTGGACAGGGCATTGGAACACTGATGGACCGCACCGTCTTAGAGGCGATTTTAGTCCCCGAAACCTTATTTGGACAACACCATGAGCCCTGTGCAAGCGGGGGCCATTGAAGCAGAGACCGAGTGGATGTTTGCTTGCAACGAGCTGCTCCTACCCGTGCACACCGAGAATTTTGTCGTCCCCTTCTGACGCTTCTCATTTCGTTGGGAGAAAAAAGAGCACGACTCCCGTTCGGCACTGCATGAAATTCTCGAGCAAAAGGAAATCCCGGGAGACTGCTGATGGCCTGCTTGCTGCCGGTATGAGGGGGCCAAGAACAAGCCCCACAAAATGCCATCCGATGATTCGGGGAGCTCGCTTTTGTCCCATTTGCGTCTTCCGCCTGGGAGCGAGCGAGCCAGCAGCGAGCGCACGGGAGCAGGCATCCAGGATGGAGCAAGCAAACAATATTCGATGCATACGTAGTATTTTCGGCAACCGAGACGCATGGTAGCGACACGATGATTGTGACCTGGGCAGGCGAGCGAGCAAGCAAGCAAGCAGCAGCAGCAGCAGTGGTAGCAGCAATAAGTTGCGCGCACCAAAAAAGAGGATACCTTGCCGTCCACGAATTCCCGAGTTACAGCATTTTTGCGGGGGATAATAATAAACAGGCCTCACCAAAAAGACGCGTCCGCTTTTGCTTGCCTGCCGCTGCCGTCTGCTGTTGTGTCTCCCGAAACATGACCAGAGGTGTGGTGCTTCAAACATCGTTCAACCGATCTCCCGGGACTGATGGCGGACCCGTCGAATCGCACGAGGTTGGGCCCCGCGCACAGAGTGCAAAGTGCCGGTCCAGACCAGGAGCGACTCCGTATCTCTCTCCGCAGCGAAGACGACCCCGGAAGCAAATTCCACACACGGTACAGGGGGTTGGATTTGTTTGTTGCCCCAGTCGTGCATGCTCTGGGCGCATGTAGGTTCCCGGCGGTTTCCTTTGGCCCTTTTTATTCCCGTTGATGGCTGGTCCGGCGACCTGCCGTCGTCCTAAATGCTCACTGCCTGGAGGTGCGGACGCGGACGGAGCCAGAGTGGCTGGCTTTGGCTGTCTTATCGACTGGGCTTGCGGGGCGGAGGACGAGTGCTTTCTCGTCGGGCCGGGCGGGGAGACAAGCAGCCTTTTGGTGGTGCTGGTCGGCAGTCTGATTTTCCCAGGCCTGGGCGGATCGGCCGTCAAACTTGGCTTGGCGGAAAACGGGTGGTGCCAAACTTGGGTTCATGCAAGTCATTGCTTCCTGCGCACACCTTGAACCTAGAGCTACACCTTGCTCCAACTCGCACACCCTTGCTGCTGCGTCCCCTCTCCGCCCCTCTCCACCCGTCCCCT